CCCCGCCCCCCCCCCCCCCCCCCCCCCCCCCCCCGCCCCTCCCCGGCACAGACGCCTGCGGATGCGGATGTGGCGATGTGACGTACTGTGGCCCGGGAACCGGGACCCAGGGGGGCGGGACTCCCGCTGGGTGTGTGTCGCGCGCGTGCGGAGGCGTGTGTGCGTGTGTGTGTGTGAGACCGTCCACGTTCCACGCGTCCGCCCGGTGGTTGGGCCGGGGAGGGGGCTCGCACGCCAAGTGCACGACCCGGGACGGGTTGGCGGGACCGGAATCACGCGACGTCCGCACGGGAAAGACCTCAGCTTCAGAACCCCAGAAGCAGAACCAACCCTAGCTCGGCCGTGACCGGACCCCATCCTGGGCCGGGCCGGGCCGGGCCGGGCCGGTCCGTCGGGGGGGGGGGGGGGGGGGCGGTCGAGTCACCAAGGAGCTGGACCGACACAAGGGGGGGGGGGCAAGCCCGATGGCCATGGCATGCAACACGCACGGGGAGGTACATGCGTGGGTCATTGTCACCACCGAGGCACCGGCCCCCGCAGCGGGCCCTGTGCATTCCTAGGTCACGTGGTTCGCGGGGGACCCGGCCATGCTTCGGCGAACGCCGTCCATGGGGGGGGGGGGGGGAGCTCTCTCCTTGCCGGCGCAGAAGATACGCGGGTCTGTCCTCCCCTCCCCCTCGCGCGCGGGCGAGCGTGCACCACCTAGCCGAGGCCAGCCACAGCGGCGGCGGCGGCGACGGCGGCGCCGGGCAGGATTGTTGTTTGTACAGCGCCCAGACTCCGGTCTCCCTCCCCCCCCCGGCTCCCAGGCGCGGAGGCGGCAAACGTCCCAAGTGATGGTGCCCAGGGCGCGGGGCCGGGCGGTGGGCAATGGGTCAGCTGCCGGGCGCGCACCGGCGCCCGCCCCCGCTTTCGCTAGGGCTCCCGCGCACACGGGCGCCGGTGCGCGCGGAGCCCTGGTCTCGGCCACCCCTCCCCGGCTGGCCGCTCGGTGCCAGGCCCGCCCCCCCCCCCC